CTACACACTTTTGTAATGCATTTAGTGACAATCGTTTTTTCTATCTCCAAAGGAATTATAAATCTGGATAACAATAAAAATGCGCAAGGCTTGCTGGTGTAGTTGTAGCAAAATAGTTACGCCATCTTGAAAATGATTAAGAATAGAGTTAATTGCCCTATGACATCACAGACTGTTTACATTGAGACAGATGCGAAGAAATAGTAAGACCTATTAATACATATATCGAGTCTTAAATGGATTATATATGTATGCTATGATTGGGCATTTTTAAATTATAAAATTTGATATACAGTAACTCTTCTACTAATAAAATTTTGTACTCAAATAATCCGGTGGGGGGGAGGGTACTCGACCCCGTTTTGGATAGGTACGTGCCGCCAGCAGTCTAAAACCCTTCCCCTGTTTAAGACACTAGAAAGTAAAAAATCCATACCCTCAAGACAAATCCATACCCTCAAGACAAATCGGAAAAATAAGGAATCGCTATCTACGCCGCAACCATTAAAACTGCAATTATACCTACATCCATCAAAGACAATAAGAAGTTTTTGATAACACGTTAATCCTGCTACAGTGAAACGGTATTTCTTATGAAAATATTACCCTGTCCAAGACACACACACAAAACAAATTATATCAGTCTTTCATCTAAATTGTAGGGCCTGTTTAAGACAATTTCAGATGAAATGTATACCCTGTTTAAGACAGCAAGGCCAAAAACCATACCCTGGCCAGCGGCACGTCCCCGTATAKCAAATATATGGGAGTACCCCACCCCACCCCCGGGCAAATAAACCAAATAAAGTTGATTGATCGGTTGAAACTTCTCCCCAAGTCACGCGCCAAAAGCTCTCGACGAACTTGAAAACTTCAACGTCGCAATGCAATGCCATTTTCGTTGTATTGCTAGATTGTTTAGTGGCGTATTTAAAATTACACGAACTACAGATATTATTTGCAAATTTCAGAGAATTCTTCGTGTGCGACCACATGATGACCTGGAATCTCCTGAGAAATAAACAACAAAGCAATCGCCGCCATGTTGGATGAATAAACAAGAGAAACTAATGAGGAATGCTTTGTGATCTTCATCCAATATGGCGGTTATGACGTAACTTGCAAGCCAAGAATTGGAAAGCTTCAAAATGGCAATATTTTGCATGTAAAGTCATTCTAATGCAGCTTAACTCAAAACAATTCCTTGCCAACCTTGAACAATTATAGGCACTTTGCAATTTGGTAGAGTGGTTTTCATAAACCCGTGAAACAAAGTGTAATAATTAGAGTGTAATAGATCGTAATAGTCGCGTAGAGACAATAAAAAACAAAAGAGCCAAAGTGTAATAGCTATAAATACGCTAAAGTGTGTTTCACGGGTTAATGAAAACCCCTCTACGGCAGACATGAAGTTAGAGGTATCTTTGTTTTCACTGTGCGCCAAAGCGGCCATCTTGGATGACCTTCAACAAAGGTTTCTCATTAGTATCTATTGTTCATTCCTCCAACATGGCCGCCAGTCTTTTATCTTTTGAATCTCATGGGAATGGTTTGAAAACGATCAATAGACTAGTTTTCATTAATCCGTGAAAGAGACTGGACTTCTTATTTATTTACGACTTTACAAACTCGGGTTCAAGTGGCCACGAACAAAGCATTGAAGCGAGGCGTCAAGGTAAATTGAAGCCTCGGTTCAATGCTTTGTTCGTGGTCACTGGACCTAAGTATGGAAAGTCGTGAATTTATCACTGAAGAAGAAAATCTTGAAAAGCTTCACGTATTTGACGTAAAACGAACGTGCTCTGAACTACATCATATCCTTGGCTTTCAATCAACAAGATCGCATTTAAACAAGGCAATATAAGAAAGTTCTTTTCTTAGTTCTGACCTTCACCTAACACTTTATCAGGGATAGCATATTAGTTACTATCCTACCCCCAAAGGTAATGTCTAGAGCAGAGTGTGACGCCATGAGCTTGACGATAGTTTATTTTTAAAGTTGTTTACTGAAAACACACTTTAGCTCTCTTAAAATGGTCTTAATATAGCAGATGCTACAATAGCATAATACTCGCCAGTTTCGATATCTTATTTGTGCAGCCTTAACCTTCTTGAAAACATGTAATATATTCTTTTATTCGGCAGAGAATCTATTGTAATGCAAACACTCTGTGTATAAAGTAAACAATAAAAAATATGCTTGATTGAAGCTAAGCTTGCACAAAAGAGAATTCGAAACTGGAGTATTGGAGTCCAAAGACTGAGCCAGCTATTTGTAAAATTTTCAAAAATAATTTTTTTAGCTGATATTCTTATTTAGCAATTTTAATTATTTTAATTTTAATTTTAATTTTAATTATTAAAATAGTCAAATGCTACTCCCACTCCCATGACGAGAAGACAAAATGATATTCTAAAATGATGTTCACGTACTTTTGCTATCCGCGGAAGTCAAAGCATCAACAGACCGCTGACATTAACTAAGCCGTGAAGACTCTGGACTCAAGATTGGCTGTACGTCAAAACTTGCACGTGGTATGTCACGTGGCATGAGTTAGAAAACTGCCCTGGTCGATGGCTACTCGGTCAACGCAAATCATGTTCGCTCAAAAGGTCAAGCGTCAGTCGAAAATAAGTCACATCTGATAGTAATAAAAATGCTTTTCTGTAGGCATTTGTTATTCTCGCTAGTAATCAAGAAAAAAAAACAAGTCTCTTTGGCGTGATTTCAGTCCATTAGTTTGAGATAAGAGAGTATTTTTGGCTTGGAGTCTCTCGTTGACAATTGCTTTCAATAAGTATCTTGTTATTATTGTTATATTTGGCTTTAATATAAGGAAATAACATAAGACAATTTTCTTCTCGCTGTTTTATCTAACTTCTATAGAATCGTCTTATTCTTCTTCGGTTGTAAGTTCAGCGTATGCAAGGTTTAAGGTTTAAGGCGTAAAGCCTCAAATATATTTATTTAGCGCCTCAAATCAACAAGATTATAACTAATTGGTACAAACTCTACAGCATAGAGAACTTCTTCAGCGATATTATCCATGAAACACTCTAGAAATTACGAGAAAATTGCACATTTTGCGTTAATGAGATCTGCTCGCTTTGTCAGCATAGTATTTCACCGATATATATAGTAGAACCATTTTATAGTAGAGTCAAAAAACCCGTGAAATAGATATTCCACTAATACACCTTAGTACGCTCTAATTGCATTGTTTTCTTTTGTGTCTATTTGACTATCACACTTTAACAGTCAAGTTTTGTTTCACGGGTTTTAGTCGAAAAACCCGTGAAATAGACATTACACTAATACACTTTAGTACGCTCTAATTGCATTGTTTTCTTTTGTGTCTATTTGACTATCACACTTCAACAGTCACTTTTGTTTCACGGGTTTAATAACTTCAGTGTCCTTCAGACTACCTTACTTGATCAGAAAATGCATCATAACTGACCCAATCTTAAAAGTATTTTAACCAAAATGTGCCTCGCAATCTTCCCTAAGAATTAAAGGTTTTAGAATTAAGGTTTTCTCATGCATATGCCTAAGGCAACTACTAGGAACATACTTTGTGACAATATAAAAGGTATTAAAGTGCCTAAGCCTTCCTGAACTCCTTACAATACTGTCATATTAAATACGCTATTAAGAGAGACATATGTCTTATATAAGTTGGTATTAGTTTCTCAGACGATGCGTGATCGGAGTGACCTCTACCTTTTCAGGGGGGGAGGCGCGTCTTTAACCTTGATACTTCATTGTAAGTCATTGCCAAAACCGATCAAATTTTTCCTAAAAAATTGCTTCTTAGAGTGAAAAAACAAATTGGGCACGTTTTTTATGTTCTATGACCTTTATTGACACATTGTAATCATCCACTTAGGACACGTGAGAATTCGCACAACCTCGCACAAGAGCGGTAAAAAGCAATGTAGAGCTCATTGATTCGTTTTGTTCTTTCTTTTGCGTTGTTCCCTTACTTGATGTGATTTCTTTTCGTTTGCGTTGACTTTATTTATACGCGTTTGTTTCTCTTGCTCGTCACGTCAAGTTGTTCCTCAGTTTTTTTTATCTTGGTCATTTTGTTTTTCGTTTGCGACGATTTGCTTCTAATTTCGTGAATTTATTTGTTGTTTTGCTCGGTAGTGTAATTTTGTTTGTTCATTTACTTGATTTGTATCATTTTGCTCGTTATCAATAAGATTTTTTTGCTTTGCTTTCCTTTTTTTATCGTTTAGTTTTGCTTGCTTTTTCTATCGTTTCGTTATCTCGCTCGTTCATTTCGTCAATCGGTTTAAATTTTTTCTTTCGTTTACATGATTTCATCCTCCTCGTGGCACAAAATACTCATTAATTTAACCCAAATAAATTGAATCAATCGCGACCTATTGAGTTAAAAGCTCTAGAAATCAATTCTCTGCTACCAAAGGCGTAAATAGGAAAATATTTATCACAGCAGGAAATCCTCTGCGTCTGACGCTTGCAGAGAGAGGTTAAAAAACCATGAAACTTTAGACACATAAATTCTTGAATTTTTACTCTCCCTCGCCCGCCTAACATTAGTCTAGAAGCGTCTAAGAGAGTTATAGCTTTTTTCTATTAATTGTCCGCCAGGTATTCTTCCTTGGAGTCTGGAATGAAGTCAAAAACCTGTGAAATAGATATTAAACTAATACACCTTAGTACGCTGTAATTCCGCTGTTTTCTTTTATGTTTATTTGACTATCACACTTTAATGAATCAAGTTTTGTTTCATGGGTTTAATGACTTTACTCTATAGATTTCATTTTTAAAATGAGTGGATTTTTCACCAAAATTTTGACTCAAAAACTCATCACCCCCCTGATCAATGCAACTCTATTTTCGCTTCAAAAGAGCTATCTTTTACACATAATTGTCATAACATTTAAGGAGATTTCCTGTGTGTTTTACTCTAATGCTCATTATTAATGTCTGAGCAGCCATATGGAAATGCACGTAGATAAAACACTTTGAAGTCTCGTGTATTTTTAACTGCCAGTTGATTTCCTTATTGTTAGGTTATCATATTGTGTTTTCGTGATAGTTCTTTAAAGGTCATTTCAACGACATTGATTAGCGGTAGAGGTATGTGCTCACATTTTAACCTCTGCAACAGTCGTTTATTATGAGAGTTCGCCATTTCCATAACATGGTGTATGCGTAGCGGAAACGTCCTCAGATAGGCGGCTATAAAACGCATCTTTTTGCACCGAAAACTGAGATTTTTCAGCAACAGACTTAGCATCAAGATGCAGACGTTCATACCATTGTGCTTGGCGATTTGGTTTCTCAGTTGTGGCTCAGACGCGGCGTATAAGGTTCCCAATTCATGCCAGATTGTCAACGTATCAATGTGCAACAGTATTTTACCGTACAATCTCACAAAATTACCTAATTACCGTAGACAATACACGCAGACAGCCGTTAGAGACTACCTTGGAAGCGAAGACGTAACAAACCTTGTCAAAACAAACTGCTCAAGTGATTTGGTCTTCTTTCTGTGCGTTTTGCATCTTCCAATCTGTGTTAAAGAGTTTCTGGCCCCAGTTCTACCTTGCCAAAAGCTGTGTGAAAAAGTCAAAGAAGATTGCTTGCCTACGATAAGGAATTATGGGCGAGATTGGCCGATTGACATTGAATGCCATAAATTTCCCAACTATGAAAAGGGAGTCTGCATCAAAAGAGTTGTAGTCCACAAGAACTTGAAAAATGACAGTAAGTGCTTATGAAATGGAATAAATCTTTTATTAATCTAATAGATTATTAATCGCGGATAAATCGCATCTATAACAGAAGTCTTTTATTTCTTATTTTCTAAGTATCTATTTGATCTAATTGGTTTTCATAGTGCTACTTTATTAATCTTTATTTTGCACCTTTTTTTTTGTTTTTTCTGTGTATTCACGCTTGATCACAGTTCTCTGTTTTTGGAGATTTTTGAATGTATCTATTTGACTAGATAGAATAAAGTAGTCAAGGTATCTCCTTTTGATTGTTAAGAACTTCTATTTCACGCATTTACAGTCAAAAAAACCGTGAAATAGATATTACACTAATACTTCGCTCTGTACTAGCCCTTTAGACGCGTAAAATACAATTTAGCGTTCGATACTTTTTTAATCTTTATTTTGAACGTTTTTTGGGTCTTTATTACACGTTGAATATTAGGATTTTTTCATATTTCTTTATTCTTGTCGTTCATTAGATTATGTTTGTTCTTATGCTTATTGCTATGCTTATGCCACTGCGCGCTTGAATTCATTCGTTTGTCTTTTCTGTTGTTTTCGGCTAAAGTTTCCGCTTATGTCGAAGTGTCAGTCTTCCTTAGATCCCTATATAATCGTTCTTCGTAGTCATCAAACTCATGCTCTTTGTTCATAACCATGACCAGTAAAATTCTAGATAGTTTCTTCTTTTCGAGCTCGACGGAAAATTACTCCATAAAGCTGTTTCTGTCTTCAGGAGTCTTAATTGGATTTCAGATAATGAAGAATTTGCCTTCAGGTGATACTAGAACTTTTGACATTTGCTGTCTGATCGTCTTCGAAACTGCAGCGAGGGCATTAATATCATGACACATTTCCAATGAGCAATGATATGCTGACAAAATCGTCAATGATCTCATGTCATTAACACCTACGATCATCTTTTAACAGTTAGAAACGATTATCAAAAAATGATAATTCAGGAGGAGACAGCGACTCATGCTCTCCTAAATGTTTGTTCCTTTACGATTTTTTTTCCAGGATTCTAAACTGAGATTTTGTCAAGCAACTGTAGACTTCCCCAGGTAACTGATAACTGGGACAAAATAAACAATTCCTTTCTTGCTACCAAAAGAATTGAGCTTTTGTCTTAGCGTACCACTCTTTTAGAGATCTCTTAACCCCTCGGAAACGTTTTTCTTTTTAAGCTCAAAAAGTTTCTATAAAATTTCTGATTTCTGAGTGTGCTGTAATCTTGCTGGGAACTCCATGTTACTAACATCTGGCTGGGAACTAAAGAACAGATATATTTCTTCCAAGAACACGTTGGCCCCTCAAACTAATGCTTATTGCTGTTTATTGCTATGCTTATGTTGATGTCGGCTTATGACGTACGCTTGACATCATTCCTTTGCCATTTTATTTTGTTTTTGTTCGCGGTTTATGCCTGGTCAAACCAGGCTACGACCGGTTGACTCATAAGGAGAAACAGAAGCGAGAACAGTAGACAAGTCAAGCGTTCTTTGACATAAGCATAGCACAATAAGCATAAGAACAAACATAAGCTAATTAAAGACAAAGGAATAAACAAAGAGAAGCACCTTCTTTTGTGTTTTTCATCGACTTTAACCACTAGATCTATCTTGTTTTGTTTTTTTTGAGGTTAGACTTATAGCGCAGTGTGAAATGCGCCATCAAGATTTTGAAGTTTTTTTCTAACACCGTTTCGTTTTGAAATGTTTGAGCCTACAAGAAGACTTCTTGGGTATTTTCAACTTTGAAGCGACGTTTTGTTGAGGTTCAACAGGGTTTGTTATAGGGTTTAATTTAAAGAAAACATGCTGAATTTAGCTGAAATGTAGGCCTGAACGAAAACTTTCAAGCTCAACAATCCCTTTTGCCTTGGTACGCTTTAATTGCTCTGTTTTCTTTTGTGTCTATTTGACTATCACACTTTAATAGTCAAATTTTGTTTCACGGGTTTATAGTGAAGTAACAAAAAACCGTGAAATAGATATTACACTAATACACCTTAATACGCTCTAATTGCATTGTTTTCTTTTGTGTCTATTTGACTATCACATTTTAATAGGCAAGTTTTGTTTCACGGGTTTAATGACTTCTCTCTAACCAATTAGTGTAGATTAGACAATAGAGAACAAAGAAATTCGCACGATTTAGCTATAGTTGTTGGTGGCCATCGTGTTAGCACTATCACACTACAAGAATCAAAGTTTTGTTTCACGGGTTTATGACTTCACTCAATAAACCAGTGCACAGTTAGGAAACAATACTTCGTGATTTATATTTTCTATAAAGCATAGTGAAAGAATTTTGCCTTTAGGATATGTCTGAACTTCTCAAGATTCTCAGACGCGGTTGCTGCATACAGGACATCTGTGGGGGGTGGGGTGAAAAGGTCACATATCAATTAAAGCGTCTAATAGTCAATAATATCGAGCTCTTTAATAATGCCGAAGCCCTATGGCGCGCCAATCAGGAAATTTTAATCTCAGTTCATTAAATACAGGATATTCATATTCTTTGGCATTGCCAGGCATGCGCAGCGAGGGACACTGATGAGAGGTTGACTTGACGCGGAGTCAAAGGGATTGTTGGTTAAAGTGTGGTCGTCAAAATTTTCCTTTTTTGAAGAACAAAAAGCAAAGTCATTGCGCTTACAAATTCAATGGAATGAAAAGATTCTAAGCTAACGTTAAGTTAGTATAATACGATATAATGATAGATTAGTTGACTTAGCAACTACAAAATGTGCTCTAATGCACAACATAGTAATTCGGGTCTCACTTTTCAAGATGGCGGACGCATTGTTCTCCGAAAGGAGCCATGGGTTTTGCTTATTGATGGCGAAACAACAACTGATTATTGTAGAATAGTCTGTATTTATATAAACATAAGAAACAATCTGGCCAAATTTTAAGAAATTCCTCTCGAAATTACTGTCTCGCAACAGTAAATAACGTGCATGGCAAAAAAATGTTGAAGTGTTCCCGCAAATGATGATCGATCAACCATAAGTTTTCATCTTCATGAAAGGTGACCCTAAGCAGTGAAATTTTGTGTCTGTAATCGCATGCAATAATTATTTCTATTTAACTTACAGCAAGCAAGCATAACGGCTCTGGAAGAAACAGGAAATCTAAAGGTATTTATAAGCTTTTATGTTATAATAAATAGAAAAAATGTATTCAATTAACGATTGCCAATGGAGGGATGAGCTAACCTCGTTCAAAGGTCCTAGGGGAAAAAGGTCTTTCTCTGTCCGCCATTTTGAAAAAGCGAGCAAAGCGAGCAATTCAAGATGGCGGTCGTATTAGTAAAAAGATTTTTGATTTTGTTTTGTATATATTTTTAGGGCCATGCAAATGCAAAACAGATGAAAAGATGAAGTGGAGTCTGCTCAAATTTCATGATCGTGCCTACGACTTTGGTAAGCTGAAATGACAACTGGCATATTTTTTTGTTTGAGGATAAATGGAGCCAAGACCGTGATGCATGCCGGTATATCTGTATTCTATTTGTTCTAGATTATTTAGCTTTGACAAACATCTAGTGATAGATTTGTCATGGAGCAACCTTGACCTTCAACCTTTTACTTTATGCTTCTTTCCTCTTATGACGCTGTCGAGATGCTCCATGGGATTGACAAAAGTACAAACCGAGTTATTATGTTGTTGTTTTTCCTTCGTGTTTCTGGAATTTAGGGCTGTTTTCCGAACAACAAGCGTTAGTCCTTTCACATAGACATCTTTTGACATATACTTTAAGTGATTACCGACTTCCAAAAAAAAAACTTTGTACACAGCTTTCTTCCGTATCCGCCATATTGATATTTATATCGATACCATGATGCACTTCGCCGAAACAAGCGTGATGTCATTAGGTTAAACGACCTTGTTATAATTTCATTACTGTTAATATACCTTAACATTCAGCTTTTTAATGATTTCAGTGTTTATTGGCCGAATAGTGCGAATTAGTAAAAATCTTACCAAAGACAATCACAGGCAAATTACCTTCACCAACATCCACACTTTCCGAAGGGGAAAATTTAAGACCAACAGAATCTATGTGCCCTCCTCTTGCCCATGCCCTTACTTGAAAAAGAATAACTACTTCGTCATAATGGGCAGAGAAGATCAGCTCAGAAAGAAACTGGTACTGAATCGAAAGAGTTTTGTTTTCAAAATCAAGAGAATGAAGAATATGAGAAAACTCAAGAAGCTTAAACATGTGAGTATCAAATTAACAGCGGAGTAAAACATCTGCGCATGCGTCGCCCTTGAGACTTTTTTTTCCGTCTCCGAAGAAATTTGCTTCCGACTCTCCTCCGTAAAACCGAACAAACTCCGAACGTGAACATTTAATATTTATGATAGGTTCGGAATTCGTTCGGTCTCGAAAGAAGCATAGATGGCGATTCTGGTAAAATATATTTTCTTTTATCTCTTATTATAGCTAGCACTTAGACAGTTTCTGATGAGTCTAAACTACATGAACAACAAATCTTCCAATAAAGGTAAGTAGAATTGAGTAATTGAGAAAAACTAAAKTCAATATCTGATAAAAATGGTTAATATATTAAGCCAAATGGTCTGCAGTTTTTATAGCGATATCAATGGAAAATCTGGCCTAGTTTCGGAAGCAAGCAACCTCGTTGTATGTTTAGAAATCTAATCCAGCGGTAGTAATGCAGTTGAATACCAGATTCAGAGCAACGTCCAATCTCGTACCCAGAGCCCACACTTTTGCCATCCAGCGGATGTCAATAGTGAGAGATTACTCCAGAGTCTCTCACACGCATTGTTATCCGCTGGATGTCAAAAGTGCGAGCTCTACGAGGTTGAGCAACGTCAAGCTTACTCTAAAGGCCCCTTTGCATCTGAGAGCCTTTGCGCGATTTTTTCACAGATTTTCAAAAGATAAAGCAAGGTTTAACAACAAAGCATTCGACCACAAAGGTTTTCGGATGCACTTGGCCCTTTAAGAGCTGTCAGTAAGGCGGCAACGTTACGAATTACACCAAGGATAATTTTAAGCTTTTTATTTCCAGGATAGAAGACGTCGATCAAAAAAGTCATCAAGAACTCTTTTAAAAAACACCATGAACGACGTAGTATTTAAACAAGAGCTAAAGTAGTCAGCTCTGTAATGGAGAAAGATCGCCAAAAAGTAAAGAAATTCCGTACATGAGACTTGTGAAGAGTTGGAAATCTTCCAAAGTACCACAACTACATTGCTTCGTTGTTCATTCTTCGTCGTCTTTTCATGTACTTCTGTGTTTCTATATCTTAGGACGACTTTTAACACTTATTAATCTAACAGTCTTACACTCTTTATGTTTCACGCTTTAAGAGTGTATTCATAAAGCCGTGAAATACACTTTAGTGTTCTGCACTTTATAACTCTATATTTTGCATTTTTTGTCCTTTCGGCGTATCGTGCGATCACACTTTGGGATATTCTACTTTGTTTCACGGTTTAGAGTGATTTTCATAAACCCGTGAAACACACTTTAGCGTTCTACACTTTAATTACCCTTTATTTTTCGGTGCATCATCGGCATTGCATTACACTTCGTTTCACGGTTTTATGAAAAACGCTTTACACTTGAAATGGTGAAATACAATAGAAGCTAGCACTGTATCCTTGAAACTTGATTTGAACAAAATAAGTGCAAAGTAAGTAAATCTCATTAACGTTGTTCAGTTGTAAACACGTAAAGACAACAAGAAAGTCATTTCCATATATCATATTTTTGTTTCTTTGCAAGAATATTCAGACATAAAGTACCAAAAATTCTTTACAATTTTTATAACGTCAGTATATTGAGGTCCAGAAAACCGTGAAATAGATATTGCATTAATACACCTTAGTACCCTCTAATTGCTTTGTTTTCTTTTTTGTATATTTGAATATCACACTTTAAGTCAAATTTTGTTTCACGGGTCTAATGAACTCTTTCAAGTACTTTTTCAAGTGTTTGCACTCTAATCCCTTTGCTTCCTATTATCTAATCAACTTTATTTAGTAGTAACTATTACCATATATATCATGGATTTTGAAAACGTCTACTCTACATTCAAAAGATTATATTCTAAAAAATGCAAATTTTCTTCATAGATGTAAAAAATTAGCTAGACATAGAAAATAGAAGAAAAACGATACTATTGTTCCAAATAAAAGCTTTTGACTATGACAGTAGCCAACCATGAGCTATTTTCTTTTCCTGTAGTGACGTCATGTGTTTTGGAGCGAAGTGCATCATGGTGATCATGGTATTGATGAAAGAATCAAAGTGGCGGATGTCAAAAACCTACGAAGGACAACGTTTCTTTGCGAAATTATCGCTACAAAAGGTCGAGACTAGCATTAAATGACATGTCAACAGATAAAAGACCTTTCTGGGAAATTATTAATGGTTGCTGTTCGCGAAAAACAGCCTGAAAGACCAGAAACATAAACGAAAAAACAACATGATTTAGATTGCACTTTAGTCAATCCCATGATGCATCTGCGCTCATTAAGGTGAAAGGAAATTGGAAGCTCATGCAAGTCAATCCTGTCAAATAAATCCACAAATATAAACTTTAGCTGAGAAAAAATATATGGAAGACTAATATTATTTGTACATTTTAATAAATCGTGTGTTACATAACGACTCACTTTTATAAATACAGTTTCACGATGAAAACAAAAGCAGCGACGCCATTTTGTATTTTACACCAAAGCATGATGGGAAATGCTCTAGATTTAGTGACAATTTCCATTCAGGGACATACAAAGCGCAAGCAATCTTGTTCCCAGGCTTTTTCCCATTTTCCCAAATGAATGGAAAAGTAAAGGACTTGAGAGCGGTCTGAAATGTAAGTGCGCTTTCCATTTGTCAGAACTGGCTGGCCAAGCCCAGAGAAAATGTCATTATATAACATTCCATATAGTTAGCAAATTCAAATTTTCAAATTCTATCCATTATTCTACAGAAAATCTCGAAATGACTGGAAAATGTCGACAAAAAGCATTACATACCTCTAAATAGAGCGGACTGGCCGTCCAGTTCTGCCTAAATGGAAAGCACCCTAAGATCTACGACCACCCATAATGCTTTGCTGTAGAAAATGATGTCCTACACTTTTGCACTTCCTATAATTGATCCTTTGCTAATCTCTGGGTATCCTCCGTGAATATCGGTCTTCCTTAGTAAGTTGGTCTTAAGTTTACTCTATAGACTCAGTCCACTAATACTAAACTCTTTTAAATTATCCTCAATAACGTGTATTGCCAATTTCGCATCAAAACTTCAAGCATCAAAAGTCGGCCATCTTGGTTCTTTTGTCAATGATGCATTTCGCCGAAGTAAATATGACGTCATTAGTCGAAAGGACCGCTACCATCATTTCAGAACAGTCTTAGGTGATGGAGGCTCTTCTTCATCTGAATCAAACTCTGCATTTTCATCTTTCAGCCACTTGCCATCTAGTCCCAACACCCAACCTAGTTGCCTTAACTTAGACACATAGAGTGCTTTAGAGTTTTGATCTAATTTGTCATATTCTGAAAGTTCTTGCTGCGCTGTTGAAATATTGTGGGTAGAATTGCCATCATTTTGTTTATTCTCAGAAACACTACAAAGTTCTCCTTCAGGCTGAACTTGTTGCTGAGTTAGTGGATTTACTGACAGAAACCTTTGTTTTGCTAAATCTTTTCTGTTTCCCAAATGGTTATATTTAGTTGTTGAGCTTTTACTGTGATTATCTTGCTTCAAATGCGCAGAGCTAGGATTAATAGTTTCATTTTTTCTCAAAAAGCTATTATTTTTATACTTATTTTGAGTTTGTTTAGAAATATTTTGCGTGGAAGAGGATGAGCTTTCGTAGTCACGCGTGTAACTTGTTTGTGAATTGAAGGTTGTTTTTGCTTTAAAAAATCCAGCTTGAGCGGTAGCTTCTCCGTGCGTCCTTCCTGTAGATGTATCACGTGAATCACCACATGTTTCTGTAAAGCTTTCCTGGTTACAAAAACTTCCATCCATTGTCTTCCCTTTGTAAGTGAATGAATTACTTGGGGTTTTGTTATCGCCAACCTTTCGTTCAGCAACATTTGCTCGATGCGAAGAGCTATTCAAAACAAGCTCTTTATTTTTCTTTGTTTTTCCTATAAGAGGGCTTTCAGATGATGACTTCAAGTATTCTTCATGTTCACGCCGCTGTCTGATTTCTGCATCTTCTTTTGCACGTTCAAGTTTGACAAGGACATCTTAAAATAATTAAGTAAAAAATTTGAAAGACTCAAGTAAGCTAGGAAAACGTGTGACCAGTCAGCATAGTAATTTTTTGCAGGGCAGTATATACTAGAATTACTCAGAGGAAGACATAATAACAATGTTTAATAGCATCTCCTCACAAAKACTTTTAAGAAACTATTTACAATAAAGACCAAAACGAGTTCAAAAATAACAGGAAACTTTGGGTTTGATGGATGGGAAAACTACTCAAAGCATGGTTTTAACAATCAATGATGAAATTTTTAACAATCATGAGGAAAAAGGGTAAACAAAAGCAAAAATTAGAACAGAAAAATCACAAGTTAGGGAGTCTTATCTGGTAAAATCACTAGTCAAGCCAATGTGTCAACATTTTTTGCAATGCTGCAATACTACATTACAGGCAATATGCATAAACATCCATGTTGTATTCTAGATGGCAGACAAGAGGCCAGTTATGAGCAATTTCAATGATTGTTTTTTATCACCTTCTTTGACATTAGATGGTAAGAAGTAATTCCCACATTATAAAGACTATTTATGTACATATAAGAAATATAAGAAATAAAAAATGGTGCACATGTCTCTGTCCTCTGATGTAAACATGGAGGAAGTTGAAAAACATGAGAGAAGTAAGCATGTAGTGAGTGTTTCTCTTGCTTCTCAAGTGCTTTTCAACTCCCACCATCATTAGTATTCTTTATAAAGAATACTTTAATAAGGAGTGTTTTATCAGACATAAAGGTCCATGCATGTGACCAAATAGGTTCATTCTATTGGTCTAATAACTCATTAAATATGTATGAGTTTTTGAAGTAATGTTTAAAGGCCGACAATGAGGACTTGACGGGGTTTCAAAGTCCGCGCAATTAGTTCCAGTCCGAGGCATTAGTTTTTGAATATTATTTAAAGATGTTTTCCATTTTTTTCATTCTTTTACCAAGGTAAATAAGAGTACATACTTCAAGAAGCTATCACAAATTTGTTAAGTTTCTTACTTGCAAGGTGTTTTTTGCCATTCCTGTGAAGACTAATCATTGCTGTTGTATCAAAGACAGGTCGGTGGTGACATACTAGACACGCCAACCTGAAAAAATTAACAATTTTATCATATAATTATCTATGAAATACCTTATTTCTCTCTTTTGAAAAGTTGTTATTTTCAGTAGTGAAAATAACACATTTGAGGTTTCTCTATATAGTGGAAGTAAAAAAGGTATTTTACAACATAATTTGACTTCATATATAATTATATGATAAAAAGAATATTACATGGTCACTTGGAGATAAGAATGTTATCTTCTTGTGTTGAAAATCTTTTCAACACTAGAAAGTAAAATCTGCATGCATCTCTGCGCGCACATCTAATATACTCTATGTTAAATTGACTAAATAAAATAGCTATCTAACATTTCGAATGATATAAATTATTAGGATTATTAGTATTTAGGTGAGTTTTCAAAACCAGTATTCAAAGCGACTCGACTGAACGTTTGTACCCTACAATTGGCTTGGGCTTCCTGTGCCAAAATCATTGACAGGTCTAATGGTAAACACGAACGCTGTTTGAAATACTTGTAATATATCCGCCAACATCCCCACATCTGTGACATTTTGGCAATACAAAGATCCCACACAGTATAAGGGTTTAGAAGTACAAATAAGAATAATTTCTGACAGAAATTAAGGTTATAAACTCACTTTCCATTCGACATGAGGGTGATTTCATCCGACGGAATATTGTCCAAAAGCAGGTCATTAACGCGTCGTTTCTGAAAAGCAATTACGAAATTATACAGTTCATGTAATTCTTACACTACTAAATTAGCAGAAATTAAATACAATTAGAGAAATTCGTACCCTTTGGATGTTAAAATCGTCAAAATCGTCTGCTACTCTCTTGAACGACATTTTGAATACACAGGACTGCCATTTGGTCACTCGGTTAAATAAAACACAGGAAACCCGACAACAAGGGAAGTGAATTAGCAAAAAGAAAAAGAAAAAAAGGCGCTTAAGGAGGCTCCATAGAGTATTACTGAAAACGGAGGTTTTCCAGATATTTTGCCTTTTTTGTACATAAGACAGCTCTCAAAATTCTATTTCTTTAATGACTAATAGTTGGAGAATAATTTTACATAAAAATATCCGGGTAGAATGTTGTCATGGAAACAGTATGACCACTACAACAAGGCCCTTATTTGACATTTGAAAAATGATAATTCAGAATTGGCACGGGCAATCTTCTTGAAACTGAAAAATGTTGTTTTTTGCAATATTATCAAGTTTATAAAAACTGTTTGAAAAGGATCTGCACATTAGAATTTTTAAAACAACGAAAAAAGTGTTTTTTGTGAATAAAAAAAAATCTGATGTCAAGAATCATTTTATAACTTGCAAAATGATCGATAGTGACACGAATAAAATAATATCCAAAATTGAAGAAAATCGCCCGTGGGGAATTTATATTATTGTATGTTGAAAATCAAATTTTTTAATGATATGCGCAGAAATAAAATTTCACAAGATCGGCATTTGCGCATGCGCTAGTAAAGAATGCGGGCTCAATGAACTCGAAGACACGCTCGAAAGAATTCGCTAAAAGAAGCCAAATTCTGCGAGTAATCGCTGGATATTTGGGGGAAACATGAGGTAAAATACGTTTTACTTCAGCTACATTTATTCTTTATTGATTGACTTGAAGTGCTGGATGATTTGGGTTAAAATACRAGTGTTTTTGGTGACTCTTGGGACTTTTCCTGACTTTGGAGGGCACGATAACACTGCAATTAAACCGGTTTCACCGAACTTTGTAAATACATTTAGAAGATCACCGTAGGACAGACCACTTCCCGCTATTTTTTCTGCCATCTGCTTCGAAATGGGCGAGTCTCTCGTGTTTTCCATGTAAAGATTCCCTTTGAAAGATTGAAGAATCTCATGCCTTCGGTCGAGGTACTTAGTATCGTCTACAACATGACTCGTGGACATCATGTTGGATGTCAATTTTTGAGGAGAAAATTGAAGAGCAGAGGAGAAAACAATTCTTCTTAAGGCTTTTACATCTTCTAATGCATCGTGGGCTTCAAAAGACTCGCCAAAGAGTTGATGGTATATGGCTGATTGAGTAGCTTTCGACATGGTTCCATCTGCCGACTTCAATGATGGATGCTCAGAGTGTATCAGATCTTTAATCAAAGGAAGTGTGTCAGTAAAAAACACATTCAATTCTGTTAGAGTCTTGGAGAAACAATCCTTTCCATGTCTTATGATGGTTGGAGCATCGAAAACCTGAGAATTGTGTCCTATCAAAACTGTGTTGACATTTCTTGATCTGCTGTTTATGTTACTTATGGTTTGTTGGATAAAAAACAAGAAATCAGAGAGTGCTTTGTCCAGTTGAACCGTTATTACTGGATTGTTATCTTTGTACAGAGTTCGACATCCATTGGTTAATCTGACAGTTAACCCATTAACTCTTGATGCTGAAGTGTCAACATCTCTTGATGGAAGTATGTAGCAGTTGAAAGTCTGGTGACCTGACTCATCTATTGCAGAAAGCTGGCATATCTCTGCTTTTTTTCCTCGTGTGTTTGTTTCAATGTCATAAATGATGAAATTGTAGTCGTAGTTTTCTTGAAAAGATAAATTAGACGGAGTTGGTCGTACAGTATACTCTGGAATTTGACTTTCAAATAATCTCAGTTGCTCATTTGATATTTTAGTATTAATTATATTGACTGCATGCACACTGGATACCTGTTTAGAATTGCTAGGATTGAGATTAAGTCCAATGTTACTCTGATAAGTGCTACCCTCCTTGGCTTCCTT